AATCTATTGACACCGTTAGTGGTTTAAATAATTATAAAAATGTATTCACATTATTATACATCAAACTACTCATTATGTAGGGACATTTGCTTCTAACAGTACAACTACCGACATTTAAATAAATTCTTTGAGACAAAACGTTCAGATTCAGTTCCAAAGAAAATTTTAAGTTATATAAATGGTGCTTTTTTTTTTTCCTCAAAACTTAAGTATTTTTTTTTTGAAAAACTATAATTTTACGCTATTATTAACCACTGCTAATATGCCACAAACTAGAAAAAGAGTTAATGATGCTGGTAATAACTAGATTAAAAATGTAAACTATATTCTTATTAAGGTAATATCGCGCAGACAAAATTGTTGCCACAGTTTATTTCAGAATATGATAACGCACCGCACTTTGTAACAAAATTGCCACCACGCTACTTAATGTACTTGAAAAAAACAGTATGATTCATCAATCAAAAATCAAGATCTGTATCAACCAGAAGAAGAAAAATTGCTAAAAAAAGGGCTGCTAATTATCATAATGTAGATAAAAATAGATATGACTCCATTTTAAAACAAGTAATTTTAAACCTGGTGATTTGGTAATGTATGAGGAATTCCGATATCCTAACAATAGAAAACTTTCTCCTCTTTTTTCCAGGGCCTTATTAAATTTTAAAACAATATTCTGATTTAATTTTTGAATTAATAAATCAAATCATCTTCTTAAACCGAATTCAAAAGTTCTGTATTCTGCTAATCTCAAACTATTTATTCCAGAAAATGAATTTAAATTAGCCATTAGAAGCAGTAAAACACCTGTTCCTATCAGAATTCTTTATTAAAATTTGCTTTAATCATTAGAAATAATTTGGGACACTGTTATGACTTTTTAACCAGAAGAAGACTCATAATTTAATTTTGACACATTATTTTCAAGTTTTTCTTGATTTTCTCTTTCTCTGGCTCTTTTCTTAGCTTACTCTTTTTTTCTTTCCAGAGATTTTCAACTCGAAATTTGTTATACACCTTCTCCTAAAGATGAGAACAGGAAAAACTATTATAAGGTATTTCTCCCTTCTTAGCATGCCTTCATAGTGTAGTGGTCAGCACGCTGAGCGCGTATCCCAGAGGTCCGTCGTTCGATTCCCGATGAAGGTGTTGCTATTTTTTCATCTTTCCTGCTTCGAAATAACTTAATGACTCTACAGTGGCGCCCGAACTAAAAAAGGTGGTTGACGATGATTCTGCACCACCAGGATTTGGCGATTGGGTCTCCTAAAACCCCAATCTTCCTTTAAAAGGGGGGTATATAAGGTATTTGTTCCGCCTTCTTAGAATGCCTTCGTAGTGTACAAGGTTAGCACGCTCGGCGCGTATTCCAGATATCCGTGGTTCGATTCCCGGCGAAGGCGTTGCTCCTTTTCCATCTTTCCTGCTTCGAAATGAGCCAACGTCTCTAACTCAAAACTAAAGTATGAAATCTGGCCAGAAACTAGATTATTAGGTGATAAAAGTTTATTTTGCAGTATTCCAACCCGATATTTACACTATGTGCATTACTCCTTGCACCACCTCCTTAGGGAGGATACAGGCAGTGAAAGTACTCTCCCTTTGTCCCCCTAGATATACCCCTAATAGTTGAAATTAATTTTTTTTTTTTAGGGCAGACAGCTATTTCTATGGTAGAGAGCTTCAGCACTCGCATTCCTCTAGCCATAGTTTAGCGCAAAGTGTTACAACACACATTACACAAATTAATGTTTTTATACATTGTTGTAGGGGAATGTAAAACATTTATTCATTAAATTTATAAGAACTAACTTTAATGTGCAAGCTATTATTTTTAATTTGAATCTTTTATATTTATGTTTATATTTCAATTATACAACACTGAAAAATCCTTATGGCCGTAAATCATAATTAATAACTTTGAAATATTTATGCGATGCTAAAAGTCAGTTAGCTTGTATAAAAAACAGAGCCTTTTATTTATTATTGTATTTAAGAATCCCACAACCATCAGCATGTAGTTATGCTGATTCGCTTCTGGAGAACCAACCTATATTTTTATTTACGTTTTTGTTATTGTACTGTATTTTATTACATTTCTTTGTTTATTATTTTCCAAAGTCCATTTTACATTGCTCTCCGATAAGAAAATATGATTTTATACTGAAATAACAGTTTTGCAAAAGACTTTTAAGAGAAAAACTGAAAAGAATTACAAAATACTAATAAAGCAAAGATTTTAAATAAGTGAACTTTACATTGTTTTTTCAAACGCTAAGGACTACAAATTTAGGGAAATTTATATGATTTTTGAATAGGTAATTCGGAAAGCTTTAAGCGCTTCTAGTTTGAGAGAAAGAGAACTCATAAACTTTTAAAAAATTGAACTGTATATTTAGTTTAGATATTATATAATATTTTTTGTAATACTTCTAAATTAAATTGTGTGTCGTTATGTTAAGGTAGGAGGGAGTTCATGAACAAAATGTTTGGGCATAGTGTGAAATCTAAAGGTTAATCATTTTCAATGTTAATCATAAAAATAATTTTCCATGTCGCAAAAAAAGCATATATTGTAAATACTATACACATACATTCGCCAACGTTCTAATTCCTTTTTCTAAAAGGTTTTCTGTTGCTAAGCATTTTTCTCTTTGAAGGAGGAATGCGTAAAATATAAAATATAAAAGGAAACTGCTAACTGCGAAAGCTAATTGCTCAAATTATGAAATAAATTTTCGAGTGAGAAATTTGAATAGTTATTGGATGAATTAAAAACAAATTGGTAAAGAAAAAGAAAAATATAAAGAATAACAATTGGGTAAATCCAACAAGGCGCTAAACAAATATTAAATGCAATTTGCTAAATAAATGTTACTTAAATTTCGAAACAAAAGAAAAGAACTGCCAAAGAAGTTACAAATCAAAAGTAGCTATTGTAAAATAAAAGCTAAAATTTTTTAAAGTTAACGACGAATTTAAGTAGGACGAAACGAATTTATTCACAATAAATTAATTAAAATTATTTAAGTAAGAATTTAAAACAATAATTAATGCAGAAAAAATTTTCATTTGGGAATAAAACCATAAAATGGAGCACCTATAGCTTAAATGGAACAATAAGAAATATTTAAAAGCAGTGTCCTTGAAATTCGGAAAAATAAGACAAAACTGAATTAATCAATTCAAATACATTAATTTGAATGAAATTAAAATGGAATTAAAAGAACTGGAGACTAACTGGAAATTAAAACTCAATGAAGCAAAATTACATGACTAGTTTATCTGAATTTTTCTTTGTATCGATTTTATTTTAAATTTTTCTAATTTTTATGCATATTAATCTATTTAATTTCTTTCATTTATATTAATTTTTTTCTTTATCTATTTTTGGCTATAAGTCTTCCATTTTTGTATTGGTTTTTGAGTTTCCTCAATTTCAAATATTTTTGCATTTTTTTTGCATTTTTATTTAATAAATTTCATTCTAATAAATTAATTTCGTTAAAAAATTTTGCTTTCAGTTTAGCATGTTTCTTTGGGTTTACAAAATTTTTAAAAATTCTGCTTTTTGTTTGGATATGAAATTTTCTTGCCACGTTGCATTTAGAGTTACCCAATGCATTTTCTAGTTTGTCTCTCGAGTATTATTCTATTAATGTTTATTTTGTGTTAATTTTTCAAATATTTATTTTAGAGTCACGTCGGAACAGATTATATCATGGTGATTAATTCATGTATAAATATTTAATTTTTTTTTTTTTTTTTTTTTTTTTGCTTTTTTTTTGCTCTTTTGAAGCGCTTTGATTATTTTGACTAAATAATTTTTCAAGACTTCATAATGATCTAGATGTAATTCAGAAACGAGGGCTATGCTGAAAATTCTCGGCTGGTTTTTAAAAAAACAAGGACTTTCTGTTATTTTTCAGTGTATACGAGCCAGTTTCCCTTAAAAAGTCCTCCACGAAAGCATCCCTCCCTTAAGGCAGATAAGCCTCAAGTGCTTTGCCGTAATCTAATAAACAAAACAAACCTGTTATTTTTCAGTTAACAGTTTTATAAGATTTATATCCATTTTATTATTACCTGTTAATTTTTCTGAATTATTCTTGTTTTAATTTTGATATGAATATTTCCTGTTATTTCAGTAACGGAATAAAGTTCAACCTTTTTCATCTTACAGGTACTCTATAAATACTGAATATTATCTATGAATAAAAATCTCGTGAGGCACAAAGCTAGGCGTCCTGTTAATTATATGTGAAATAAAGCGAATAAGTAAACAATAGTTTCTTATTCGAGATAATGATAAATAATTGCAATTTTTCATGTGTTTTTCATATATCATAATGAGGATCTCTGTATCCTTATCCTGACCTCTCTCCTTAAGTATCATTTGATTTTAGTTACTAATAAATAGACTGTAAAGTGACAAGCATTTACTTTTTGAATCGTCTAAACGAAATACGTTACCAAAGTTAATGTATAAACTAAAAATATTATCTGAAAAGTGAAGCAACAACCATTGTTAGGGGTAGAATTTTAGCAAAGAAACTCTATCGGTTTCCAGGGCGCACGAAGTCCCTCTTTATCAGGAGCAAAAAAAATCTGGAAATCAAATCCAAGTTACGAACATATTTATACCCTAAGGAAGAAGAGAGAGTAGCGCCATCTGTTAGTTAAAACAATAAAGAAAACTGAAAAATTAGGAAAATTCTATGAATATATTTATACCCCGACGAACATATTTACACTTATAATATTTGAACATATTTATACCCCGACTTCCTTAGGGTATAAATATGCAACTTGGTTTTCAGTTGCAGATTTCTTTGCTCCTGATGAAGAGGGATTTGGTTCGCCCTCGAAAACGATATATTTTTCTGCGCTGAAAATATATGCCTAACACAGGTTGTTTCTTCACTTTTAGGATTTATTCCAGGCTTGTTTCTCTTATGTCTTAAAAACATATTATGCTATAGTAGGTCACAGATACATACAGCTTTCTTCATGTCCTCTGGAAGGTATTGTCTTATGTAGATGGAATCAAGTATTATTGAGAATTTGTCATAAACATAGTCGAAGCATTTTTCTCGACGAGGCGTCCAGTCCAGACCCAACATGGGAAAAGATTTTTCCACAAATTTCCATATCATGTAGTTGGCCAGCACCCTGGAAAGAAGAATACATTATTAAGCTGCCGACGTTATCTCTCTGCCCTCACACTGATATTTCGTATACTTTATAAGGCTATTTCCTTCCTTCTTTACGCTCGGTTTAGTGATGTAATTGGAATCTGACACGTATTTCAGAGGTCCAAGATTCGAGTCCCAGTGAGGGCACAGCATATATTTCACATCTCCTGTTTCAAAATAATGTAATGATTCTACAACTTAACTGCAAGCATTCTGAAATTTTCTGAGTATATCAAAAAGCATCAATATTAAAATAATTGATACTTACGGATGGGATTTGGCATGACGTTAATATGGATGTCTCGGATCTAAAAGTAGCTTACACAATTGGGAACGAGTTGAACATAATACGTAAGAATAAATGAAACGTATATGTAACAATAACTATACGTAAGAATGTATGCATAATACTCGTACATAAGAATAAATAATAAAACGTATGCGTAAGAATATCTAGACGTAAGAATATATACGTAATACGTAAGAATAAAGGAAGTAATTGAAAATGGCGTTTAAGAGGATTCACAAAAATGAACCACACTGAAGAATTTCTATGGTATAATTATTAGCTGAACATAGAGAAAATGAATGCTTTATTAATTTTACGCCATTGCATCTATACTTAGAAAAAACAGGAATGCATAAATTATGGAAGATATTTATTTAAAGCGTGCTACTGCAGAAGGTCATAAAGATTACGTCTTGAAATATATTTGTCGAAAAGCTTTCGCTATCTCCTTCAAAATATTTATACACAATCCATTAAATAATTTTAAAATATGTATCAATCGAATTATTGGGATTTTATTCATCAGTTAATTTAATTTTACAAACAATTATCCTTTACAATAAAATGATTTCTAATGTCTGTGGCTTTTACTAACTGTTAACGTGTGACATAGAGTATCTTCATGTGATAGACAAATTTGTCCAAAGCGATAAGCAAACTATGTTACAAGCAGGAAGTATATTTTTGCACAGAATTGCTTTCGTAATCAAATAAATAAGTAACAATTTATGCATGATACGCAGTATTGAGGTTCGCGAACTGCACTAAGTACCTTGGCCTTTACAGGCAGCTGACGTTGAAACAAGCAATAATTTTAATTTTAGATCATACTTTGAAACAATTATCTTGCTTTCAGACGCTTTTTTAACATTTAAATTACGCAATAAATGACAAAATATGCTGCAACTATAAGAGTCATAGAAGAAAATTCTTTTTAATATTCGAAATTCTACAGGGAGTGGGATTCTTATCTGATTTCTTTGTGGAACTACTCTTTTCAGTCATCAACAAGATTTTTAATGTTTTTAGAGTACTTAGTGGCAGCCATTCAAATGCGGTTATCTAGCGTTTCTTCAATCAATCTATTTCTGTGCTTGTTTCTTGCAAATTTAAGACTTACGCAAAATATTCCACTGGACAAGCCACCATTTGTGCTACTTGCCGACCTATCAAGCTACTAAGATTTATTGATTTGTCAGGTCCATTAGTGAAGTTGCGTGTACTTTGTGTCATAGGGCATGGAAGTGCAGCTCAGATTTTGCTGTCGATGTTTGGACATGTTTTCCAATAATAACTTTGACTATCTCCAAGTATCGAGCGATTTTAAAAAAATAGTAATTTTTTTTTTATCTAATTAAAGAATCAATAAAAGCATACTCTCTTAAATTAATATAAGCTTTAGCTTCATAAGCAAAGTTTTAGGTTAAAATAACACGCCGAACAAAGATTAATTTAGAAGTCAAACAACAAAAATCAGCGTTATATTTGCAAATTTTCCAGGGCTAGTTTCGATGATTTTACCAAACCATCACCCTTAGCTGACAGAGTTCAAATGAATTCAATTCGCTTCTGTTCCTCGACATTTTGATCCAAGTAACACATCTAACTTTAGTACTACTGTTTGCCTTCCACCACAATTCAAATCACGTCATCCGACTAAGCAAAAGTTAGCTTCATTTTATTCCTTTGTTTTCCGGGCACTTTAAGTTCGCTTCTCCAAATGGGTTCTTGATCAAGAATTAAATTATTTAAAAGCAGTAGCTACTCACAGGGGCTTTTCATCCAACATTAATAACCAAGCAGTTTAAAAAATGCTCATCTCAACACATCCAGAAGCACATACTTAGGAGATTATAAGAAATCTGTTGTCATTACTTTCCTTCCATCAATTAGCTGTAAAATTGCACATATTTTACAGAACACATATGTTAGGAAACTAGAAACACAGAAGTGCTTGGTTGCTCAGCAGTGTTGATCCGAAAATCACACTTTCCATTTTTTTGCAGCCAAAATTACTCAAAAAACATCTTTCATTGGCGAATTAAAATGTCTAGAGGCGTTTCACGTTCAAAAAAGTCTTTCTGTTTTAGTTTAATGACCCTAATTACAATCCATCTTTACCTTCAGCCTCTAAGGAAAATATGTTTTAATTTTCTTGTTTCATCAATAAATGACTCCACTAGCTTAACTCTTGTCCAGCCATTCTTGTCTTTTCTCGTTCATTTGCACTTTAACAGCCGAGGGTGATAATTCGGTAAAACCATCGAAACTAGACCTGGAAAATTTTCAAATGTAATGCTGATTTTTATTGCTTGACTTCTAAAGTAAGCAATGATTTCTTACATTCCTGTTTCCTTTACATTTAATTAATTGCATTCAATTAGTCATATGAATTTTATGAAGTGTTAGTTTAAAGTTTTTTCAATAGTAATTTCAAGGAATATCCTGTTTAAAGTTCGAAAAATTAAAAATAATATTTTTTGTTAAGTTTATTATTAGCATAAACAGCGGAAGATCTTGATTTATGGTTTTTTAACACCTCTCTCTCTCTTCGTATTTAAGGTTCACATACTATATTTATAGAAATCTATTTCAAATAGCTACGTAGAAAATACAAAACACTTTTCGACTTACCTTTTCTTTGCATTTGCGATCAAACTGCCAACGTTCATGATGTAATCCTCATCACTAATGAGCACGGTTTCATTTTCAAGGATTTCGTTATTCCATACAGGTTTGAAAAATTTCATCCAATCAAACTGTGGGGAGATTAAAAAAAGTATTTCCCATCTTTTCTTGTTTCCGAGCAGATATTTAAAATAATATATCGCGAATAGAGGAAGTTAAGCATTCAACTATCATGCAAATTTGTTGATAATAGATTTATCGCCGCTAAGAAAACTATAAACGTAAAAATTTACATTTATTAGATACCAGCGGAAGTACTCGATTCCAGTTAAGTTAGATTGATAGTAATGCATCTAATTACAGAGAGAACAATACCGATGTAATACTTCGCTAATAATGATGCAAAAAATACGATTCATATTCATATATTTTTCAGTCTGATGCGATATGGAACCACATAAAAAATTTCGATAGAAAAACTAATTATATCAGCAACAATAGCAAACAGTTCTTAAATGATTTTCGTCTTTCTAATCAAATGGTTGTAAAAGCTAAAGTTCCATCCAAATAATTTCACCTATATTCAATTTTAGTCAATTAATTAAATGTGCCAAAAACATATATATTTTTCTGAATCGGGACCGAAAACAGAAGAGTACTATTAAATGTCTCTATTAATTTTTCATCTTTTGAGTATCAAAGGATTTTTGTTTTGTTGTTTAGGAGTAAAAGCTATTATTCCAAATATATGTCTAAAACCAATGGTTGTGGAAATAAAGTCCGTCTAAGAACTTTTGATGAAGTGGTATATAATCCTACATTGTAAAGAATCCTTATTTCTCTTGTGTCCGTTTTACGTTATTTCTCCATATCAACGACTCATTTTCTTTTTCGTCAAATATCTGCTTATTTCATTTTCCCTATTCGCATAAAATTAGGCTTATTACTGTCCATCGGCCCTAAATACATGATGAGACAGACTCAAGGAAATTTGTCGAATAACAACCGAAATGAAAATTTTAATCTTAGTTAACCAAAAACTGTAAACATGCAATATTTTTTAAAGAAATAAGTTTTGTAATCTCTCATGCTTTAAATCTATCTCTAAAGATAATTATTACTGATCCTTCAAAGAATTTTTTAAAGTAATACTTGAAGATTTTACATGGTAATTACCTGCGGTATTTTATCCTTAAGTTCCTGGATGGTGCAATACGTATCATTCTCTTCTTTCCAATGTTCTAAAGTAATCTATATAAAATAGAATCAAATAAAAAAGTGTATGATATATTAATTAGGTGACAATCAAAATTGCTTAATTTATCGTTGCGTTCTTCCTCATTGGATAACAATTGCTTTGCATAACTCTAGAAACGCCTCAAAGAAGTCTTAGTTCATATTTGTTTTCCCTCGTAAAGCATGAATCCGAAGAGTGAGTGAATAGCTTAAACAGTCGCTATAATTAATATTGATTCTCTTTCTCTAGGGAAATTTGTTAAATTTCCTTCAAGTTAACCATGCGAAATGTAATTAAATATACTGGTTTCATTTTGTACATAAGATTTTCATAACGTGTGTTTTAAATTTATTACGCTTATTATTTAAATGTACGTAGTTTTAGTCTGTGCAATCATTCACATTATAATTTGATATTACATATTACGTCATATGATATGTACACTGCGAAGGGAAAAAAAAGACAGTTTAAGGTTTAATCTCCCGTTCTACTGCGGCGATTCACGAAATTCAAACTGCGTTTTCCATGTCTCCAAAGCGCAACTTAGGAGTATATAGATTTATGTATAGCATTGTTCTAATCTGTAGCCTCAGAAATGAAATATAAATAGGTATTTTGACACAAAATCGGACTTTTTCTGGAATAACATAGGAATGTTTTCCATATTTTGATTCTACGACGCAAATTATGCCTAGATTTTAAATTTTGTAATTTTTGGTGAGAAATTTATGGAGAAAATTGATAATTTATCTTGGCGCACGTTTCAGTTAACGATAAGAATAATTCACTTGGCGAACTTCTTAATTTATTGCAACCTATTTTCCTTTCTTTTTTTTTTTTTTTTTTTTTTCTTCATTGTACAGGAACGGAAAAAAAAGGCATCGTTCATATTTTCAAATAATTTTAGGAAATTACGCAAACCACATTTGGCGTTATTATCGCTTATAATTATTATTCCAAATTTCAAAAGGCGCCAATATGTAAATTCACGTATATCTCAGGAAATTTTGAATAAAAAAACTCTAATTTTTTGTAGTTATGCTTAGAAATACATCTACTTTAAGATGTGATGGTGGTAAACATTTCATAGGATATAATAGAAAATGTTTTCGATAAATTTATAAAAATTATTTAAAAATACAAAATTTAAAAATAAATAGAAAAAAAAGGAGGAATTTTATTTGGAATCAACCTAAATTTCGAAATGTGAAAGGAAGAGTCAAAAATGTTTTATAAATAAAAGATGTTAATAAATATATACCTAATTCAATTAACCTGGAGGAGCTAAAATTTTGAGAGCTAATGTTTTAAAAAATACTCGTGCGATTTTTACAAAACCTGGAAGTTTGGCATAATTGGAGTGAGTCGTAAAATCGAAATATGAAAAAAAAAAGTGCCATGTCATTTCAGAAAAAGTCCTATTTTGTGTATGAATCTATAATGAAAATATATAAATCTAATACACATACTAATTCACGCTTTAGAGACATGAAAAACGTAAGCTGAATTTCGCAAATAAGCCCAGTAAAACGGGAGATATAGAAGTGTCCCTTTTCTTGTGCAGCGTACCTTATTAAATATAAAAACACCTTTGGATGGAACCATCTATGCGGTTGCAAATTCATCGCTGTAAAATAATGGAGATATATGTTCAAACCACACAGTTCTCATATATTCAGGACCACACACACACAAAAAAAAAAAAAAAAAAAAAAAAAAATGTGTACGTGCCGACGATTGTAATAAAATTGTGCAACATTCAATTGTGACTTAATTTTTTAATTCAGAAAATGCCATTTATTTTTCTTTGCAAATCCGTTCCATTATTTCTATTTCGAAGGCCCTAAAGTGACCGAGCAGTAAAGTCACTAAACACTGATAGGTCGATTGAGGGCTCAAATCTCGGTGAACGAGCTCGTTGCACATCCGCTTCCGTTATTTTCCGTAGCGTCACAAGTCAGTTTTCTTTAGAAAGTCCTGCACGAAGATATCCCACCCCTTAGGCAGATAGATCCGTAGCTTGTTGATGAAATGATTAGCCGCGGTAATTTATGATGATAGCTGATAGCTCTATCTGGCTTGGGTTCGATTCCAGCCGAGTAGGCTGGCTGCATGGTTAGTCTTCGTGGTTTTCCCCATGTGTTGCGTGAATACGAGCTAGTTTCCTTCAGAAAGTCCTCCACCACGGCATCCCTGCCCGTAGGCAATAAGCCATTGAGTGCTTTGCCATAATCAAATAAACAGAACCAATCCTTTCTTTTTCGGTTTCATATCAGAAACGTTTTTTACACTAAAAATTTATTTTATTATTTGTATAATATCTATTTCTGATATTTAAGTTTTGATATTTTAATATTATTTTCATAAATAAATGTTGCGAATAGTCATATTCTCAAATTATAAGGAGATTATGATCGTGTTCATTACTAACATACTGACGTTACAGACATTTTAGATAATCTGGTTTTACGTAATGACTTTTGATTTCCTTTGCCTATAATGGCGGGAAATAATTTTTTGTCTGGCAGAAATGGTCTCTATTCAGAGGAAAAAAAAACTGTGAAAATGCAGTGCTTTTATAACGCTATTAAAGATTCTCTGATTACATTTCATTCCGTCAGTTAAATGAAATCGTATTTTATCGGGTCAAGTGTATTTAAATAATTAAAAAAATATTTTTGTGTTTTTTATTGACATCTTACAAACGTTTGTATCGCTCTTTTTTTAAAAGAAAAGACTTCGTATAAATTTGGTGAAACCACTGGTTAAAATTTCAAGAAATTATTAGTGTCCTGTAAAAATGTTATAAATTTCCCTTCATTTTATGTAAACACAAACGGTCGATTTTGGTTGATTTCAGTAGCTTTATAAAATGGCGAATTATTGCGGTTAATACAAAAGTATCTTTAAAAGTATAGTTAAGTTTGAAATAAGAAGAAAAATTCGATTACTCTATTCTCATTGTTTCAATTAAACTTACGGTGATCGTGCATTCAACACTGTTTAAATGTATAATTAAGTGGATTTAAAAACTTCACCCTATATTTTTATGTTTATTTGTTATTGACGAAAGTAATGTAATTACAGAATTTGAAAGAACTTATACCTAAAATTTTCCTGCTTGAAAATTATACTTAAAATTATCTTTTTTGTTGTTTTTCCTGAAACCGTAGGTGAGAATGTCAAGAAATTTTGAATAAGTGCTTAAACTGTGTGGAAAAATAAAAGACCAATTAACCTACTACTATATTTCTAATTGAAAAAGTTTAGAAATTACCTTTAATTTTATGTTAAAAAATAGCCAAAATATAAGCCCCAACAATAATGAATCCTAGAATACGCACACTCATACGCGTTAAACGAGCGCGAGCACTGGGTCCAAAAAACCCGGTTTGTGTTTTATGGAGAAAAAATTTTAAATCTTTTGAAAAGGTCGATATACATCTATGCCGATAATAACTTTTATGGTATTTTCGGGTATCATATTTTAACGAAAATATCCACTTTGACCGCTATCGAATGCAACTGAACGATGTTTTTTAATCACATCTGCGCGTAAAGACAGAAAAAGGACTCCCAAAAAATTATGAAACTGATTTAAAATGAATTCTGAAGAGACTTTTTCGTGGCGGCTGTTCGTACATACGTATCTCGCATAACTCAAAAATAAGTAGCCTAAGAACGTTAAAAGTCTGTATATAGGGATTGCTATAACATGTAGATGTGCTCCTTGCTTTTTTGTTTAAATTGGCCGGACCAAAAGTATATATATATATACAGTAGATGGACAAAAATATGGAAACCCTTGTGAAATGCATGTTTGAAAGAAAGATTGATTTAATAAATATGTAGGTGGCGCTGGCGTTTTTGACTACTGACGCCACCTATACAACTTCGTAAATGGTAACAGTTCGTGTTGTCGGAGTACGTTTGTAGGTTGTCATTGCATTATCAAGTTAACAGACTTCGAACGTGGGCAAATTGTTGGAGCACGCAGGGGTGCTCCGTAACAAAGTCCGAGGTGTTAGTGTTTCAAGAGGTACTGTATCGAAGATTTATTCCGCATATTTGAAAAAGCAAAAAAACATAATCTGCTAAACACAGCGCGGACGAAGGTTCCTGAGTGATCGTGACAGACGATCATTAGGGCAATGTGACAAAATAAGAAGACCACAGCGCAAAAGTTACTAGCTGAAATGAATTGTGTTACCGAAACCCTGTGCGTACCAAACAATTAGAAGGAGCTCTAAACGGGAATGCGGCCATTGCTGCAATTGAGCCACTCATCATGATCTAATGCTCGTAACAGAAAGGTGTGTTTAAGTCAAAGCCTGGACTTAGAGCAGTGGAAGCGAGTATATGGTATGACGAGTCTTCTTTCACATGTTTCCCACTTCTGCGAGTTTACGTCGGAGAATGCCATCTCAAGCTATAATACAACTGCTTGTTCCAAGAGAACAGGCGGGGGTTCTGTTATGGTTTGGGCAGCCATATCGTGGTTCTCTGCTAGAGCCCCATGATACTGTGTCAGGGCATATGACTGCCCGACTTATGTGAACATTTTGGCCGATCAAGTTTAATCCCAGGCACAAATTTGTTCCCCGATGGTGATGGTGTCTTCCAAGACGACACCCCCTGTTCACACAGCTCACATTGTCCAGGACTGGTTTTCTGAGCACGAGGAGGAGTTGTCCCATCTCCCCTGGCCACCACAGTCACCAGACCTGAATATTATCGAACCTTTGTGGTTGAACCTACATTGGAACGGAAAGTGCGTTCTCGTTATCCACCGCCAACATCTTATCTGAACTTGCCACCGTTTTGCAGGAAGAATGGTATAATATTCCCTTGGCAAATATACAGGAACTGTATTTATCCATTCCGAGAAGACTGCAAGCTGTTTTGGATGCCAACGGGTTTCCTACACCATATTAAGCAAAGAAAAATGTTTTTTTAAAGGTGTTTCCATATTTTTGTCCAACCCTGTATGTACTCACTATTTTACTCGACTCTGAGCTCAGTTTTTTTATTCTTATATGTTTATAAATTGTGAACTTTTTATTTCAAAATGAGTGAATTATGTTGTTCTTATCTTGCGGTTAAGGGTTTTATGCCTTTAATAATCTGCATTCAATAGTTGTAGAATTATTAACAATTTAAAAGTTGTTTAAGTGCGGCTAAGCCTATCTTTTTTTTATCATAGTAGCCATATTTTTTTTAGATTTGAAACTTAAAGGAATAGTGAAATAAGTCAGTTTCCGCACCTTCAGTGTCTTTTTGCCGAGTAGGACCAAAAGTAGACTTTCAGTGCTTTGCGCAGAAAAATCTGAACTTTTGCCTGCTAGCCTATTTTCTTGCTTTTGCGTAAAAACTCTAATTTTAATTGCAATTTCCTTTTTATTTGTTTAAACTGTACTTGGTGTTTAAGTTTTTCTATAGTTTTAAATTTTTTAATGAAGGTATTTTGAGGTTTTATTATTTTTGCCTTTCCGCAAAGGGACAACTGAATTAAGTCAATGAGAAATATATATCTAATATATTTCGAGGAAATAAATTTAAATGAAATGTATGAAAAATGAATATAATTTATTACTCCGTACAAGAAAGACATGTGGTGTCCGCATCAGATTTTTTCGATCGTTTCCGATAATGTTTTATCCAATAAAACAATTAATGTCATTATCACTCTTGTTTTCAGAATCCATAACTATTTCTGAGACTCAGTGCCATGTGAACTAAAATTTCCTGATCATTTCCATCCTCATTTTCGTCAATACATTTTCGCCAGTTGATGTATCTAATAACTTTTTCAATATTGCTTCCTTGTAAGAAAATTATACGATATGTTTGGCTCTTTCTATGCTATCACAAATCAATTATGTAATAGAAATACGAATAGGCGCGATGGATCTAAAAGACACGGTCCGATCAAAATCAAGACTCCGAATCAAAGGCTTAGCAATAAAACTTCAGAAATCTAAATAGGTCGACCTCTTAGGAAATTATAATTGATTATTTTTAAATAATAATTCATATCAATTATATGTTAAAATACTAAATTTAAAAAAATACTAAAATACTGTTTTGTTTGCCCACAATGTTGTTCATGGTATATTAAGCAATTTTAAGTTGGCGGCGAAGAAGATAGTTTATGATATCTGGAACATAATTCAAAGAGCAAATACGATATCAAGGACTTCGAAATAAATACACGCATTTTAACGATCAAGAAACAATCAGTTACGAAGATAGCGAGCTTTTAAATGTGTACACATTTTTGGTGTATTTTGATATTTTAAAATTGCTTATTACTCCATAATGTTTGAAGCATATTTACTGCAAGACAGGATGTTTTCTGCGTACTTTTGCATATTGTTGCGTTTTACTTATTCGTGGATTTGGAATGATTGATGACAACACTTGACGAAGAATCAAAACACAATTTATTCGTCATTATTACACAGGGGAGTTCCAAAGACACGTTTACAGCCGTCGAAAAACTACGATAAACAGGCTGAAAAAATCAGCAACTCAGCCTTCAGGCTATAACGGTGAAGACAGCTTTACGACAAAGCACTCAAGCACAGCTCTCGACTCGGTCGTTCGCTCTCAAGCTAATCTTTGAACTCAAGACAGAACTACTGAACATACTCAAGATACACTGTTCCTCCGTGTACAGACAAGGCCATTTTGATGGGAGAAGGCCGAAGTTAAAGTTTGATGAAGTCACAACCAGGGACGGTCAGCCAAGATGATCTTGGGTTGGCGTGCTTTTTTTTCCCTGGTAGTATATGGGAAACAAATATATTTTTCTATTCCTATTAACATTATTTACAAAAAATACTGAAGAACTGATTACTAATCTTTTACACTTAGACGATGGGGTTGCATCGGAGGGAAGTTTCTCAAATAATATTAATTTTTGCTTGCTAATGGTAACATTCTGTACAATACTATATTTACAATTTCTTTACAGTACTATATTTACAATTTCTTCACAATACTATATTTACGATTTCTTTACAATACTATATTTACAATTTCTTTACAATACTATATTTTTGTTACATAACATTATGTGCAGTTTAATAGCATAAACACTGCAAAATCAAATAGTTCTGCACCGGTGAAAATGAATATTATACCAAAATTTTAACCGCAGTGTGACTGGCATTCAAAATTAAATCACAACTGAATATTTGCACTTATTTCCAAGCAATGCAAGAAACTATATTTTTGCTCTCTCATATAAAAGACATTACCCAGAAATTCGAAAGCTTCAAAAATTTATGTTTCAAATTTAGTCAAAAGATTGACATTCAACAGAAAATTATGCTTCTCAGATAAGTTTTCTTATTATTTACATATCAGTGTTTATATCAGATAATTTTAAGATAAAAATATGTTATCTGAGAACACAGCAATATAATCGCATTCCATTTCTTTACTATTTGATTTACACATAGGTTTTCCCCTCGTATAAAATGAATACAAAACCTGAAGTATAACTTCAAGTTTTGTATTTTGTATGTATTTTGCAACTTCAGGTTTTGTATTTTAGATGTAGCTTCATAATATACAATACAGATTATTCTAATTCCTTCAAATTTTGACATTCACAAACACATGCTGAAACACACACATATATGTATATATAATGTTTTCCAGAATAGCAAATACACCTATATTATTAAACAAATTAAAATCTAATATACTTATTTCTTCGTACTGCATATCAAAATAAAAACGTTTTCCAGTTATTTATCATTGAATAATTTTTCACTGAATATAAAAATTTAAAGCTTATTTGGATAGTAATTTGACTTGCATCTCGGAACGCAACATTTTCGCGGCATCTGTAAAAATTCAACTAACACTGTATTATGCACCTTAATTAAATAATTACTAAAGGAATTGCAGTGAATTATTTAATTCTATATAATTGATACTCTGTAGACTATCATTATTAATGCACTCCTATTTAAGCTTAGTGAATGTACAAAATATACGTACAAGCTCGAGCTCAATATTTTTTAACTTTTAAGAATTTTTTTAATATTATTATTCTTGTCTAATTCAGAAGCAGGAATTATTCTGATAAAGCATTATGGGATTCGTGTTTGATACATAGTTTGAAAAATGGAAGGTACAAGAGAAATTTACTAGATTGTTATAATATTTAACATGAGTGTTATGACATATTTGTTATGGCATATGTAATAAATACGTGTAAGAACATGAATAAAAATGGGGGGGCAGTCTCTTTAGCTTGTATTTATCATAAAAATATTTGTTTGTATCACGAACTAAATTTAAGAAGTGCAGGTCAAACAGAATGAATTGAAGAAAAACATTAAAGTGAGCTAGTAAATCAGCTTAACTTTCGATACATCTTGCTAAAAATTAAATTTACTCTTGTTAAGGAATAGTTAATGCTACATAACTTCTAGGTTAATTGTACGCTCTGCTTACACTCATACTTAGAAGATGGCCTTAGTTCGCTCGTGACGTCACATCAGGGAAGAACCTCTTTGGATTCGGCCTTGTCCCATCAAGAATGCCTTGGTACAGACAAGATATTTATAGCTTTTGACTTGTCTTTGAGAACATTCTCGGGAGAAACGGTAAGAATTCATTCTAAAACGTTCGCGCTCCGTCTATGGTATATCGCCGATTCTGTTACCAAATGGGCGATTTTGTGCCAAATCTAGTAACCTTGCCTTTTCTTGACACTTTCTGGCAACAACAAACATGCTTTTCGGGGAAGTTATCTTACCGCAGCTGAGCATTTCGTAACATTATAGTTCATTGCAGTTAATTTCTGTTTGCTTGGAGAAACTTGAAAATTCATGTTCAAATGACATTTTAATAATGGCTATATCAAATAATCATAGATCATTGACAGTACAAGTGACAGTACAATTGACAGGACAAGTAAAATAAAAAAATATTGTCATGAAGAATACGTTGAATACGTCATGAAGAATACTATTAAATCGAGGAAATCTTATACTTACATTAATGAGCCTGATTTCGAAATCGAGAACTTCCTTGAGTTCATTCTTCGAAGTATGTTCATTTGCACCAAGAGCTTTGGCAGTTTCTGTCATTAATTTGAAGTACTTAACTGTTTCGTAATGGTCTGGGCCATTGTTCAAAAAACCATTTTCGAGTTCCCACCATGGCATTTTGTTCATCTAAAAAAGAGCAAACTAAAATTCATGACATCGCATTTAAACCATTTTATTTAACTTTCTTATGGATAACATGGACCAAGTTGTTCATATTTGTAGGATCATTTAACATAAATCTCCAATTTTTATTGTAATTTATTTTTAAATATAAATGACCATTTTGCATGCGATACAGTCTTTTATCCGAGGTAATACAATAGTTTTCGATGCCTGTTAGAATATCAGATTTTTTTCCCCTTCGGAAATATTAAAAATAAAAATATTTTCGCCAGACTTATCTTTCTAGATTAAATACAAATCTTTAAATTTGCAGTTATCCGACGAAGAACACAGAACCTTATAGAATTCACACGTCATTTCCTTATACGGTGCTCGTGTGAGTTTTAACCACGAATTGTATTCAATACATTTTCTTTGAAAAAGTTGTCGCTGCATTTGAATAAGAACATTTTAAAGCAGTTGTATAAAATTTACCAGCATTTTATTTTATTTCATGATATATGATATCTGATCAAACAACTACCTAACGATAACAAATGCGTGCAATTTTTAATTTTATTTTTAAAATTACTTTGAAACTATCTTGATTAATATACTCATCTACATGTATTATATCCATGTTATCTTTAACTATTTATATGTTTATGTTATTGCATTCCTTGGTTTAATTTTATTTTGGAATTATTCGCCCAAAGGAGCAATTTGCCCAGAGGCGCTATTAATTTCATTTTGGCATTTTGCGTTGATTCATTATAAAGTGCGAATCACTTAAGTAAATGTAAGATATTCTCATTTGAACATTATTTTACGATATTGCTATAGAACTGAATTTTACGGTTTAAAAGCGAAGGACATGATATTTAATAAATAAAGGTAACACACAAAACATTAAAGAAACGCCCCTTTGGGCGTAACATAAAATCTGAAAGCTTTCAGATTTTTTATTCAACCTTTATATTAAAATCACATAGTAATTGGAGTAAGACATTTTCGAAAGCGAAAAACATCAAAGAAGTTACCCTAATTAATATCTTTATTGTTGTCGTAGTAAAACTCATTGCAGATTCAATATATTTTACTCATGGAAACTACATATTATTACTGTTATGCTAAAGTAAAATTTTAATTTTTATCCTCAGTATTATATTTTTTTTTGGGGGGGTGGGGGAGAAATCGCGGCAGGCTCTTGAAATGAGAGATTTCAGACACATGATCGCCCTTAGGGTCACGGTTACATAAATATTTTTTCTCTGCATAGAACCCCTTCAGATTTGCATTGATATTTGCAAATTCATTCAAAATCTTAAGTGAGTCTATTTTTTTCTAACGTGTAGAGTTAAATTTCTAAATTAGTTTTAAATCAAGAAAATTTGAATTTTTAATAAATATAGGGCAATTTAAAGCAAATAATTCTACTCAATGTATTTAGGAAAGAAAGTAACACTGTGAAGTAAAATTTTAACTTTTAGTTTGAGAATAGAAATTTTGAAAAATGTTCCTATAGATTGAAAAACCTCATTTGGAAAAAAGCGTAAAATGTGAAAAATATCGTTCTGTCAATTAATATTTTTTATCCTTTTTCCTGATTTTTGCTTCGAAGTATTGAGATCGCAGAAAATTTCGGTTATCCTATTTCAAAGAAAATATCCATTTTGACCAGTTTCCAATCCATTTACACGATGTTTCTGCGTGACACCTGTACATACGGACAAAATAAAGGACACTTCTTCCCAAAACGGATAAAAAAAAATAATTTAAAAGGAATTTAGAAGAGATTTTTTCAGTGACGTGTGTCCGTCCTTATATACGTATGTATCACGCATAACTCAAAAACAAGTAGCATCAGAACGTTGGAATTTTGTATATGGGACTGCTAATAACATGTAGTTGTGCACCTCCCTTTTTGTTTACAATCGGTGGCACCAAACGTTTATATATATATATATATATATATATGTGATATTAAAAGCACAAGGAAAAGACGGAACACTGTAGATGCGTGATTAGACCCATACTGAAGAAGAATTTGATTGCGTAGTATTTAAAGAACTTGGCAGTCGAGGCAGTTTTAATTCCATTTTTATTTCCAATTGATATTTGTGGCCACAATCACTTGGCACTCTAGTCGTGCCTTTCCACAGAAGATTTACATTTTTGATATTGTTGGGATAGAAAGCAAGCCAGCGAAATTACATCTTAGCACAGTAGAGAGCAAAAGCTGAAGTGCATAGTTATGAAAGATGGAAGCATGCGAAGAGAAAAGTTTTGGTTTACAATTCGGTGATTGATCGTCAAGAGGCATCTGGTATTAACGGTTACGTAAGATTGCATGATTAATTTGAATGACGCAATGCAGATAAGTTATTACGATTTTAGAATAGAAAGGAAGACTTAATGTTTATAGTTATATTATAATTCTGATTCATACATTTTTATCTTACATATATATACTTTTGGTGCTGCCGATATATATATATGTATAAACACACCCACTCTGTTGCTCGGGTCGATGAACTCAGTTTTTTTATTCTTGTGTGTTGGTAAATTCTGCATTTTTTGCTTTAAAAAATGATTGATTTATGTTGTTCTTATGTTTCGGTTAAGGTTTTGATGCCTCTAGGCAATACTTGTAGAATTAGCAACAGTTTAAAGTTGTTTAGTCTCATTAAACCTAATCGAACCCCATTTGTCTACGTTTGAAAGCTCTTAGCAGAATAGTGAATTAAGTCGGTTTCTGCACCTTCAGTGTCTTTTTGCCGAGTGGAACCAAAAGTAAACTTTTAGTTTTGTGCACCGAAAAAACAGCCTTCCTGTCCGCTGGCCGAATTACTTGAATTTTTTTTCTTAGAAAATGAAATTTTAATTGTAAAAATTATTTTTAACTGCATTTGATGTTTTATATTTTCCTGTATTTTACAATTTTTAATGAAGATGTTCAAACATTTATGTATTTTTGCCTTGCCGCAAAGTAAGAACTGAACTGAATCAGAAATATATCTATAATGAAATTCGAGGAAATAAGATTAAATTAAATGTAGCAAAAATACTTATAATTTAATAGGGCGTGCAAGGAACTCAGTGGTGTCTATATGATATCTTTCAACTTTTCGCACCATAAAAATGTTGTAATGATGATGGCTGTGTAATTTCACATTTCCTTTTATTTTGTCTTTTAAAGTTTCTTATCTACGTGATTTTATAATTCATTGTTCCAGGTTTAAAGAATGGATCTTGATAATATTTCAGATGCATATGACTTTATATATTGTACTGCATAAATCATTATTTCTACTTTAAAGAATGGATCTTGACAATATCTGAAATTTCTTTATATAACATATGTAAAAATTAACCAATAGCAGTTTAGCTGTATTTATGCACCCATTTAGTAAAAATATTCTTGTCAAGCAATTACATCATTCCTTTTTGTAACTTCTACCCTTCTTACATCTCGCTGCTTTGTTTTCATATTTTTTATATTACACATTCCCCTTTTCAAAAAGAAAATGACGGAGCGACAGAGAAGTCTTTTAGAAAGAAAAAGCATTACAGCAGCAAAATGTGAAAGAGATAATTTTGAAAATACAAAACATAAAATTAACTCACAATTAAACTGAATTACAATTAAAATGCATGCGTAATCGTGTAGCTGACTCAGCGAATGCGTCGACCGATGTTTGCTTCGCTGTGATTGGTCAGCTTTTATACCAACTGACATATAGTTGAAAAGTTAGAACATTTAGGCAAAATCTTTAAACCAGTTTTTCTGACGTAGTAAGGTTTGGTTGCTACGACCTAAATTTAATATGACTACATATTTTAATTAGTATTAAACTTAATTATTACGCTTTTTTAAATTAGTTTTAAAATATTACAAGTCGTTTAATTAAACTGAATTACAATAAACTGAACAGTTAAAATATTACAAGTTGTAAAATTTTGAGTTCATTAATAATATTAAGCGCTATATTATTTTTAAAAAAATTGCACATTTTTAGAGTCCTATTAAAATTTGAGTCCAGTCTGTAGAAAGTTCTTGTTTTTGGAACATTCACATCACAATTTTAGTACTTCAGGGAAGAATTCCCCAAAATGTTTACACACAATATCACAATTATAAAAACTTTGTATAGCCATTAATTATTACGACTAATTTCCATACTAATTTTCACATTTATAAGTAATATTTAATCATTTTAATAGCATTGTTGAAATTATGACTTTCACTTTTATTATTACATTTGGCAATTTTCTTATCTTATTTCCAAATTTCTTAACATTAATTCAAAACTTTTGACAAAACTTATACTTACTAACAAGAATAAAATTAAATAATCTTCCCGGAATAAAATTTTATTTTTTAGTATTTTAAGTGCGTATACAAATCTCGTAACTTTTAGCAGCTTGCGGTCGTCATGGCTGAGGATGGATATTTTGATGCGTCGTAGCTTAAAATCTGCGTAGTTAGATGGGTGCATAAACCAACAACTTTCAGACCTGGCCGTTTCAAAACATAATTTTATTCCTTTATAATTGACATCAGATCATTTTTGTAAACAAAGAATTTATCCAAACATTGGCTTTTCTGTGCGCACAAGCAGTGCCTTTTGTTAGTCAGCTAATTTTTATAAAACGGTCTTTTGCACTTGTTCCAAGTCTCTGTTGTAATTTCCAAGATATTCAGCGATAATTCGCTTACGCGTTCCAGAGTTCTTAGTTCCTGTTACCAGAGTGGGTGAGACTCTATATTAAAAACGCGCCTATTCCCAGAAAAGGTAGTTTTAAGAAAATATTTAAAATATATCAATGTCCTTGACGCGGAAAATTAGTGGAAATATGTTTTTTTCGCTATTTCTAATAATGCTTACTCTACCACATAAAAATTAGGTAACAATAAGGATAAAAAATGCAACTTCATTATTTTAAGTTCTTAATTTTGCCATTCTCATAGTATTTAAAAAAATACTAAAACAAAATTAAAAATTGTAATTCAGAATTCAAAAAATTGATTTTAACTTTTCAATTTCTTAGAAGATCACAGATGAATTGCAGAGCCCTGCTGCTCCTTGGAACGTTGTTTGAAAAGCAACGTTCTAAGTTAGGTCTGTGAGTTAGGTCTACGTTTTGTCACGTTTGTAAGTTTAGGTCTACGTTACTATGAGTTAAGTCTACATTTCACAATAAGAACGTTGATCAGTATACACCGCAAGAGTAAACCGACACCCAATAATTAAAAAAAAAGAAAAAGAAAAAAGAAAATTTGCTCTGAATTCTGCATTTCGAAACCAGCTTTAAAACCTTATCGGCATCCTTAGCTTTGTAAAAGGGAACGTGGAAAGACCACTTCTTTCTCCTTTGAGTTAAATTTTTAGATTATATTTGTCTTTCTCGCTTTTTGACTCGCATGCTAATTGAAAAGCAACACAAATGAAAATTGTTCAACTGATTTATTTTAAGCAGTGGCTGATTCCAAAATATTCTCAAATTAAACTTGTTTTATTTATACTGATATTGCTTCAAAGTTTAAATAAGTAATGTGTATTATTTAATCTGGAAACTGAAACAGAAAAGAAACATCGTATCACAGAATTTTAACCATTTTTTTTTTTTTTTTTGAAAGCTTCATTCTTTGGGCTATTACCTTAGTATGTGACGTTACACTATGTTCAGAAACTACCTAAATAAAAGCATTTAGGCTGATTTCTCCAAATCAGCTCGCTTGATTACATTTATATTGTTCTCTCAGCGTATAACTAAAGGTTAAATCACGATTTCCAGCTTACTGAAGAAAATGTAACTTGATGCATATTTCCGTCAAGTTTGCTTATATTATATGCTGTAAGGAATTTGTTTAGTCAAGATTCAATTTTTCTTGCTCATTTTGGTTATTTATTTGCGATATAATTTAAGGTTATTCCTATAAATCCGCAGCAAACAAAAATGTTACATTCAGGTGAAAACTAAAGTGGAGAAAATTAAAAAACGTCCTATGGATTCTGATTTATTTGTGCAGTTGACTCACGTAAATATATAGCCATTATAAACTTTGTGGAGATAATAAGTTCTTCTATAATAAATTGCTTTCAAATGTGGAATGGTAAATTTTCTATAATTATTTATAATCTCATTAATGCTTCTACGTCTTAGTGAGGAAACATTTAACCCTTAGAAAACCGAAACCTTCGCTAACCTGTATGCTTAAAATACCGAAATTCCCGTCCCCGTCCATTACGCGTCCAGTCCGTTTCTTTTCCTTCCCCGACCATTAACGCATAAAGGCGGGTGAATATTTCACATGACATCCTTTCTAATTCCTAGCAAAGAAGCTTCCATTAGCCTTTTACGACAAGCTATCTGCAATAAACGAATGCAAAGTATTTGGAGAAACTGCACTTGCTACTGCATACCTTAGGGGGGGAGGGAAGAAAAATCAATCGTTTCGGGCAGTTGTGGTAGTTTGAATGAATGGCCATATCAGGCGTTTTAGCCGTCATAGCGTTAAAATATTCATTAAAAATAGCTGCCTTTAACCAGTTTAGCTTTTTTTCTACTAAAATGGCAAATTTTAAATGAAATCATGACACATAAATGAAATGCATTATTGCTAGCCTATACACTTACCTGTAAGATTTGAAACGAATTGTTTCTAGGATCCGCAACAACAGATAACGTCAGGAGATTATCTTTCGCATCCACCTCAGGTAGTCGACTACGTACGTCAATCCAGTTGAAGAAACTGGAATTCCAGTTTTCGCCTTCGATTACTGGCCAACCACCGAGTTCCTCCAGAATTTCCATTAGCGATTTTATGCCTGTTTCCTTAATGCTCTCTATCAGCAAAAAACAGAAGTAAATACCACCCCTGCTAAAAATGCCCCATAGAGACCAGTAAAACTTTTTATGGGTACCCATAAGATTTTATGGGTTTCTATTGACTTTTACTGGTTTCTGTTGGTCTCTGTGGGTTTTTTTTACTGGTTTCAAAATGACCCATAGAAACCAGTAAAACTTTCTACTGGTACCTATAGAATTTTTAATGGTCTCTACTGACTTTTACTGGTTTCTATTGATCTCTGTGGGTTTTTCTTACTGGTTGACACCCATACAACCCATACAACTAATTGACACCCATACAACCAACATTTCAATGGCAGAACTTTGTACTGGTTTGTATAGGTTTATATTGACTTTTACTGGTTTTCTTACTGGTATCAATATAATAATAAATCTTCTGTTGGTTTATATGGGTTTATTCTATTTTTTTTTATCTGACGTCAATAGACCTCTTGCAAAGAATAAAATTAACAGAATGAAAATATGATCTCTTTAAGACCATCAGAGTAACCTGGAAACGCAGGTGGTCGTTTTAGAGAGGGTTTTTACTAAATATGCTTATTTATTTGATTTAAAAATTTTTTTTTTCGGAAACAATAACAGTGATCATATACACCACACACAACGAGGTCTCTCTAAGGCGACCAGCCGCAAATAAAAATTCATCTTTGCAAGTGGTCGCCTTAGAGAGGTGATGCTCAATACCAATATACTCACGTTCTCTGAGATACGTTTATCTTTTAGAGGTGGTCGTCTTATGGAGATTGCATCTCCAACGGAATGAATCTCTCTAAGGCGACCAGACACACTTGCAGAATTTTCTTTGTGAATGGTCGCCTTACAGAGGGAATATTCAAGTACCAAAAGTATACTTATGTTTTCAGAAATACTGGTTCTCTTTCAGAGGGGGTCGTCTTAGGGAGGTGGTTTTTGCTACGAGTTGGTTCTCTGAATACACACACATAAGCACTTACATTTCTGATATTACAAATAAACACCGGTATCAACCAACATCTCTTTAACGCTAACAAGTTCATTCACAATCGCAAAACATTTCTCCCTGTTAACGCTGACGTGACAAAAAGAATTCCCCCTCCCTCCCCCACTCTCAGAATTTTCTCAAACAAGCAATATGGCGCCGCGCTAGTTATTGTTGTACGATGGTGGTGTTATTTTCTTCGTGGTTGTAGTAATGCAATATATTATTTACTATATTACAAATTTTACTGTTTAGAAATTAGTAATAAATAATAAAATACCAGCACTGACTATGAATATACAACTAAAGCCGTGCACGTGTAATCGTGTCTAATGTTTGAGAGAACGTTGCTGATACTAGTTGTGAAATGGAGTTTCTGTGCGTGAAATTGATTTTCCATCTTTACTTTTAACCTGAAAAACAATGTGCTTAAAGACTGAAAAGTGATAATTTCAGACTTGATAATTTGGTTCAGTGTGCAGATGCAGAAATATAGTTTTTGCATTCTACTGAAACTGTATTTTGAAAAATTTATTTTTTTTTATTACAGTTTAGAAATACTTTTTTAAAGCTTGTTCATGTAGATTGCTTTATCATTTGTATATTATGTACTAATAAATTTGAGCATACCTTACTTAAAAATGATCTTGCATGATTCAATTTTTCGACTAATGTGATGTGGCCGAGCAAAAAGAATGTTTTTTTATGTTTTAAAAAAATGTACTAATTATATTTCGCGAGCAAAAACGTTAAGTTTTATTAATGAAATAAACATTGAAATATTTAATGTGTTTATTACTTATTGAATGAGGTAGACAAGACATACAAGTTTAATGAATCTTTTTCCCACTACTAAAATCATGTGAAAATTTAGATGATCATAGTAGCTTACATTGTTTTTTCTTTTGGTCTATTTTTCTTTACAAGTAGGAGACTAGAACCACATTTTTACATTAAATATTTTGTGCTATTTTGTTAAAACATATATAATCATTTTTATGCATACTTTAATTTTCATTATTATTAGTTTGATGAAGAAAATTTCAAATGTGTTTTTCATAAATTGCTTTTGAAATGGAAATAGATTTGTGAATAAGATTTATGTAATATTAAATGTACTAGTCTTGGGAGTATAAAAAGTGAATTATTTATTTGAAAAAAATTACATTAAGTTGAAACCTCATATAATGGTTATTTTCTTAAATGACCACCTCTGATAATGGCACATTTGTCAGGACAATAATTAAATAACAGGACTTAAAAAAATCATTCATAGTTTTGTCAGGCTACAGGAAACTGGCATTATCTCGAATTGTGGAGTTGATTGTGTTAGGAACGTTTTGCTGTATAATCAATTGACTTCGGTGTAGTAATTTTTACGTGGGTATGAATTTTCCAGAAGTAATTTAAGTAATTAAGTTTTTACGAGACAATTAAAACCAAAGCTTTTGGGATCATGAGTCTTATAAGGGCACTGTTATAGCATTGCTTTCAAATATAGTTAGAGTAATATTTAAACATTATTTTCTGAAGCACTTCCACAGAGAATCTGGTTGTTCTCTGCAAATGAAACCCCATATAAATAAATCTTCTATACAGCCTTATACAAGTGCAGTTAAAATTACTGGCATTACAATTAAGCGAATATAGCTACATTTGTTTACAAAAAGTTATTATTGCTAAATTCTGCACTATATAAATTTCATTTGGCATTGTAATTTCAGAAAATGCTCAGTATGAGGTATTTTTATATTATATAATCTACTGTCAAAAACAATAGCTACCTTTTCAGTACTTTAAATTTTACTATTTAGAATTTTTGTGGTTCAAAAAATATTTACTAAAGTAATTTTTCTACAATAGAAATCTAAATAACTTACACCTAAAACACTGACTCGAATTTATTCCAATAATGCATCGCTTTAATTAAATTTATGTTCCTTTGAGATGATATATGAAAAACCTTGTGTAATAATAAATTATTAATATATATAGGTAAAGGGTATTTTTATATATTTTTTCGGGTAAGTGCAGAATCGTCCACTTACTTATTTGGCACTTTTTACAAAAGTGAAAGGAATTGGATTTTTGTCAATTTCCTTTTGACTGTTTAAGTGAAAATAGGTCGATGTCTACATGAATAAGGTCAAAGGAGTGCACAATGGCATTTTTGTGCAATTCTGGGATGTTTTTTTAAGTGAAAATAGGTCGATGTGTACGTGGATACCAAGTATGTGCAATTCTTAAAAACACGCCAAGCAGTGGACGATTCTACACTTTCCCCATTTTTCTATAGGAATTTAGTTTCATTAAATTAGTTATTTAGTATAATTATGTGTATATGAGTATATTCATACTTATTCACATAGATGGAATTTTTACAGTACGAACGTTGATCTTTTTTACATCAAGAACTACATATAGTATAAATACCCATTATGTTACAGATTTTATTTATATAAAATCTGTGGAAGATTATATAGCACTAAAAGTGAGATATGGAATAAAACATTATACGCTACGAGATATTTCCTTAATTCCCGAACTGTGCGTTGAGAATTGGTATTTGTTGAAACTTGTAAATTTTTTTAAATTCTTTTTGTTACAATATAATTTATTATATTTTGGGTATTATTAAGTTTATTATATGTTATCTTCATGTTTCATTTATCTTTTGAGTTATACAGGTAACATTCAAAGTATTGTAATAAGGGATCGACACAGTGTTTGTATATTATTATTTCTTCACTACATTATATTCTAGGATTCATCCTTTCTTCCACGCAAAACATCTATGTGTATGTGTGTCATAATAAGCTGCTGGGTGTTACTATCATTGGTAAGCGAGCTTTAAGGGGATAGCAAGTATGCTAAATTTGAACTCTATGTTAAGTTTCTAATTTGCAAGTCCCGTATTCTTTTTGTTTGCTTGTTAACAATGTTTCTCATCCTGAAAATTTGGGTTTCTTCTAGTTTTGTTTTTTAATTTGGTTTAGTGCATTGTAGGTAACTTAAAATTTGAACTCCATGTTAAGTTTCTAATTTGCAAGTCCCGTATTCTTTTTGCTTGCTTGTTAATAATGTTTCTCATCCTGAAAATTTGGGTTTCTTCTAGTTTTGTTTTTTAATTTGGTTTAGTGCATTGTAGGTAACTTAAAATTTAAGCAGATGCTAGAAAGTACCATCTTTTGGCAATACATTTCTCATTAGGTATCACATTGTTAAACAAGCTGATGTCATTAAATACAATTGTTTAATTTCCCAATTAAAGAACTGAAATACAAATATATGCAGTGAGGTACAATACTATATGTATATATTTATAATGAAATCAATAATATATATACAGTCAAAGTAATGATTCGCAACCATCAAATGAAATGATATTATATATATATGTAATAGATTCTGTAGTCGAATACAAGCAGCTGAATTTTGATGACTTGGAGATGTTGAAACTCCAATCCACAATGAATAAGAAATTTGGCAGTCGAGGTAGATTTAATTCAACTTTTCTTTCAGCCACAAACAAGTTGGCACATTATTTATGCCTATTCCAAAAATTAACATTTCTGATAAATGTGTAGTAAGAAAGAAAGGAGCAGACAGACTGCAGTCCAGCTAGGCGAAAGCGTAAAAAGCAAATGCGTTATGTTAAGGGTGAAATAATTCAGACCGAGTTAATTTTGGTTCTCGATGCATTTTTACTCGTATTTGATAGTTAATACTGCTGTAAAATTACTATTGGCTGTTTGAGTTTTAGTTTCTTTTACAACATCAAATTATGTAAGAGTCGTATGACATGAGTTAATCTCGAAATGATGCAGTGCAGAAAGATTACTGTTTTTAGAATAGAGAAGGAAAATTAATTTTACGCTGCTAATTTAATCTTTTGCATATTCCTCATTTTTCTTACATATATATATATGTACATATATCATTCGATGGTTATGAATCATGACTTTGGTTATTATCTTTCTATTCATTTTATTTTCAGAATTATATAAAAGGTAGTTT